TGAGCAAATCTAAAGCCTTCCCCAGTTATTTAAAAGGAACTTGAGTTGTCTATTCCAGGTCTCAAAATACCATCCTGGGGATAGCTGTTATGTTATAGTTATTTGTTAATGAAACTGAACACCTGAAGCAAGAGACCTTAAAAAATGCGCATGCACCATCCCATTTTGTAGATGAGAGAATAAGCTTAGTACCTCGCCCAAGGTCATTGAGCTCATCACAGCACTGGCTCTGTCTGTGTTCTTTCCAGTGTACCATATGGCCTCTCCTTGTGAAGAAATGCTTCCACTAACATCCCTCCCAGTTAGTAAACTGTCCTTGGCTTTAAAGTGTGGCCCTGGCCGATGTGGCTTAGTTGGGCGGGCACCGAAAGGTTGCTGGTTCAATTCTCCGTCAGGGCACATGCCTGGGCTGCAGGCTTGATCCCCGGGAAGGGGCGTGCAGGAGGCAGCCGATTGACTGTCTCTCTCTTTCTTTCTCTCCTTCTCCTTCCTTCCCTCTCCTTTCCTCTCTCTCTCTAAAAATCAATAAAAATATTAAAACAAATAAAGTGGGCATGCGGATGTATACTACTAGAGAACCTAGTGTCCTCACCCAACACGTTACTGTGTTCCAGCTCTGTGCTGTGACACATGCATTTGTTTTTCAGAAATGCCCTCCGAGCCAGCTCCTATTGACCTTCTGACACCCTGGAAAAGCTTCCCTGCACCTCACCAAATCTGAGTTAGAGGCCCCTCCTCTGTGTTCCGCAGGACGCTGGGCTTGCCTGCCTACATCAGGCCTGTGTTGGCCCCAGGCATTGTCGGCTGGTCCCTGGCACACCTGAGAGTAGGGTCTGGGCTTTGCTGGAATGGATGAAGCTGTTTTCCTGGCCTCTTGCTGGCGTACACTGGCTTCTTGACTGTGGTGATCTCAGTAACCATTGTGGCTGTTTTGTCTTCACTACTGGCCACACTCTGTCAGTCTTAATGCCCTTAAAAGACGGGGTACACGCCTCTGTCATACCCAGCCCTTTGAGTTAGGCCCTCCCCTGAGGAAAAAACCTAGGGAACATGGTAGAAATCCATGTAACATAGAATTGCTCTTCTGTAGTAGCCATAATAGCAATTTCCATGCATTTAGTTTTATTATGTCTGACGAGTTAAGTTGTTTTTTTTTATTACTGCATTTTCCAATGAGAAGACATTCTCACAGAGGTGCAGTAAATTGCTCAGAGTTGCCTGGCTGGTGTGGCTCAGTGATTGAGCATCAAACTATGAACCAGGAGGTCACAGTTTGATTCCCAGTCAAGGCACATGCCTCGGTCGCGGGTTCAATACCCAGTAGGGGGCCTCTCTCATTGATGTTTCTGACTCTCTATCCCTCTCCCTTCCTCTCTGTAAAAAAATCAATAAAATATATTTAAAAAATAGAATGATAGAAATTTAAAAATATATATATTGGGAAAAAATTGCTCAGAGTTGCACAAAAAGCAAGTTTCAATTTAAGTGTATCTGAGCCTAAAGCCCATGCAACTGCCTAAAGCCCATTCACTGACCCCACCAACTTCTTTGTTAACCTTAGCAATGGATTTAATCAGAGGGACTGATGCTTTCCCTCTACCCCAGCTTCAGTCTCAGTTGTTTTTATTGTTGTTAATACCTACGCCTCCCCCCTCGCCCCCAACAACCTATTACTGACAGTCATAGTTCTACGATATAGAGATATAGTTGGGTACTGGAATTCTTGTCTTTAAAAATACTAGTATATGCACTACCATATATCCAAATCTTGTAGTATTCCTATAACCCCAGGAAGTAGTCACTCAGGAAATTTTCTTTTCAATGTGTTAGCCTTGGTGCTGGTAGATTTGCACTGCTGTGCTATTCAATTTATTTCTTTGCTTCAGAGAGCAAGGGAATCTGATAATGAAACTTTGAAATGATGTGGTTTCGTTTTGTTGCCAGTTCAAATCCCACTCGATTGGGATTTGCTTTAAAAATGTGCTTTCAAGTGCTAAGAAAGCACTAGTCAAAAATTGCAGTATTCCTATTATTTTCTAAACCTACGAGAAGTGCTTTTGTAGAGTGAAAATAGTTTGTTTGCCATAGGCGAGCATATACAGCATTGTAGAGGTTGAATCAATTGGTTTTTTTTCTTTAAGTCTGAATCAAAATTTATTTTAATCTTGAATGATCCTCATACCGAACATGATGAAGTGTGTGCCTGTCTCACGGAATTCATTTTCTTTCCCCCGTAGGCTGGATTTGGTTATGGCTTGCCAATTTCTCGTCTGTATGCTAGATATTTCCAAGGAGATCTAAAACTGTATTCTATGGAAGGAGTGGGTACGGATGCTGTAATTTATTTGAAGGTAATGCATTTTTTTTTCTGTTAGTATGAAGGCATCTACGCTTTAAAACTGTAAGTTCTAATAACTACTAGATAATAGACCATAGCATCTATTATCTCTTATATTCAGCCTCAGATTTACTTAAGTTTTATGTGAAAACCATGTTATGCCTCACTCTTGACTGTACAGTCAGATATAGCAAAATATGAAATATGGAGCTATAAAGAGTAAAATGATTGATTTTTAAAACCTTAATTCAAAGTTGTGATTTTCAAAAGATTGCATATCCATTGAAAGGATTCATCTAGCAGGAGACAGATTATCATAAACTGGAATCTTTCGGTCTCCTTGCTTTAAAAACTTGCTGGTTTTCCCAAAGCCACAATAACTTAGTTATCATAATATATTCACTTAAAAAGGCTGTTCTAATAACAGAGCTCTCTGTGACACAGATTTTCTCATTCATTGATACTGTTATACTTTTCTTGACTTCTAAACTCTAGAATATTTGAAGTATTTTTTGAATAGGTTATATAAGTACATATTACAGAATTTTAATTCTACAAAAGGGAGAACTAAGTCTCTCCCACCACCGGCCCCAAATCACCCTATTCTGTTCCCAACGGTAACCAAAGGTACCAGTTTCTTGTGGATCCTTCTAGAAAAATTAAATTTTTTTTCACACAAATGATTATTTCAGCACTTTGCTGTATATTTTTTTACTTTCCAGTATGTATTGGAGAGCTTTTCCTATCAGTTCATATAGAACTGGCTCCTTTTTAATGGCCACATAGTGTGCTATATGTTATAAAATATAACATACATGTAATGTATTATACTGTAACTTCACTAGTATTTGGAGTGTTTATCTTAGATTCCAGTGCATTTGAATGTGTGATATTTGATAACACTTTATGGCTTTATGTTTGTAAATCTAGTATATATGGAATTTTATTTCTTTCTGAGCCCTTTGGGAGAATGGTTGCCCAGTGAACAGTAGTGCTTGGCCTAAGACTGTACAGTCCAAAGTATCTCAAAGCATTACTAACTGGATTCAAATGCTTTTTGTTGTGGTCATGTGTACGTCAGTACTAGCTTTGAATGAGTGAATATTTTTATTCCTTTAAAAAAGCTTTCATTTCATCCTCCCAGACTAAGTAATCTACTAAAATAGTATAGTTTTAATATAATTCAAAGAATATATATTAAGGTTTCTAATGTTTTAAATATAAAATTTGAATTCGTATTTCATGTGAGACAAATGGCACTGTGGCCCTTTGGTGTGTATTTTTTCCCATTAGGCTCTTTCAAGTGAATCATTCGAGAGGCTTCCAGTATTCAATAAGTCAGCATGGCGCCATTACAAGACCACACCTGAAGCGGATGATTGGAGCAATCCCAGCAGAGAGCCCAGAGACGCTTCTAAATACAAGGCACCACAGTAATAAATTACTTCGCTTTCTATCCTAGAATCTGATTTTAC